GTTGGCATTTCGTTTCTATGTTTTGATGCGAAATTCAGCTACACTTTTAACATTCATAATAATTGTCCATTTTATTTATTATTAAACATGTTCTTTCTTGGTGCTTGACACTTCTTGCTAAACATTTATTATTACTATTTGGGGAGCGAGCTGGCGTAGTGGTTAGAGCGCGGGACTTCAGTCCCTGAGGTCCCGGGTTCGATCCCCGCCAAGTCACCAATGGATTTTATCTAAGTGATAATGCCGCAACCCCTAGGTCTAGCCTGAAGTAATGTGAAAAACAATCCCAGGCTCGTGCCTAGCGTCCTTAGGACAAAAAAAAAAAAAAAAAATTATTACTATTCAGGTCTCATTTAATTGTTGCTGTCTCCACCTTCAAGAAAGAAATACGAGTTATTTGACATGTTTAAAGAGCCTTTCATTGAGGTATACTGTATATTAGACTTAGTGTTCCAGGCGTGTTTCAAAAATGAAATAGACCAGATAGCAAGTAGTTTTATAAGTACCTGGGGACCGAGCTTTGCTCGGGAAAATCATTAGTTCACTCTGAAAGCACCTTAGTATTGGAGATACATAAATCCACACATCTACGCCCTACACCATTTCCTACGTCATGACCTGTTTCCCTCCATTCCCATTGCATTTAAAGATTGCAGATACCTTAATCTAATCGTCATAAACAGTTCCCACACTCCGGACTACTCGCCTTGACTACTTCCTTCACCACTTCCTACGTCGCGGACCTGTTTTCCTCCCTTCCCATAGCATTTTAGGTTTGCTGATACCTTAATCTATTGTCATAAACAGTTCCCACACTCCGGACAGCTCACCTTGACTACTTCCTTCATCACTTCCTACGTCGCGGACCTGTTTTCCTCCCTTCCAATAGCATTTTAGGTTTGCTGATACCTTAATCTATTGTCATAAACAGTTCCAACACTCCGGAAAACTCGCCTAGACTACTTCCTTCACCACTTCTTACGTCGCGGACCTGTTTTCCTCCCTTCCCATAGCATTTTAGGTTTGCTGATACCTTAATCTATTGTCATAAACAGTTCCAACACTCCGGAAAACTCGCCTAGACTACTTCCTTCACCACTTCTTACGTCGCGGACCTATTTTGCTCCCTTTCCATAGCATTTTAGGATTGCAAATACCTTAATCTAATCATCATAAACAGTTCCCACGCTCCAGACAGCTCGCCTTGACTACTTCCTTCACCACTTCTTACGTCACGGACCTGTTTCCCTCCCTTCCCATAGCATTTTAGGATTGCCCATACCCTTATCTAATCGCCATAAACAGTTCCCTCACTTCGGACAGCTCGCCTTGACTACTTCCTTCACCACTTCCTACGTCGCGGACCTGTTTCCCTTCCTTCCCATAGCATTTTAGGATTGCCCATACCCTTATCTTATCGTCATAAACAGTTCCCACACCCGGGACAGCTCGCCTTGACTACTTTCTTCACCACTTCCTACGTCGCGGACCTGTTTCCCTCCCTTCCCATTGCATTTAAAGATTGCAGATACCTTAATCTAATCGTTATAAACAGTTCCCACACTCCGGACTACTCGCCTTGACTACTTCCTTCACCACTTCCTACGTCGCGGACCTGTTTCCCTCCCTTCCCATAGCATTTTAGGATTGCAGATACCCTAATCTTATCGTCATAAACAGTCCCCACACTCCGGACTGCTCGCATTTACTACTTCCTTCATCACTTCCTACGTCACGGACCTGTTTCCCTCTATTCCCATAGCATTTTATTATTGCCTTTACTACTTCCTTCACTACTTCCTACGTCACGGACCTGTTTTCTTCCCTGCGTTTTAGGACTGCAGATACCTTAATGTATTCGTCATAAACAGATCCTAGACTTCGCACTGCTACCCTTGACTACAATGTATCGAGTAATCTTAAGTATAATCTTTGCTCAATATTAACAAGTGATGTTTTTCCTTTTGTACTCTATTTGTAATTTGCTAGTATACTGTGGGTAGTTGGGTTAATATGAACACATGCTACAACTTCAAGTCTTTTGTTTACTTTTTCCTTGTTATTTAATTCAGCCAACATGGTTACCTAGCAACCCATAAGACTAATGTTAAAAAAATGTGATTTTCAGTTTCATTTTTCTACGTAATTAGATTATTGTTGGCAGTTCTAACTGCATGAAACTCGTTTTTAGGCCAGAAATGAACTATTTACAACATTTTAAGAAATCGTCGGAGCCGTTTTCGAGATCTTTGTGCAAGCAAGCAAGCAAACATTGCTCGTATTAGAGTATAGGATACTTTACGACCTATATGAGTGCTGAGGTTTATTAGGGGGTTTCAATATACCATATATATTATGTTTCAGTGCTCTTTTGTATCTTGCAATCTGTTTTCTTTGCTTCAAAAAGTGTTTTATACATGATGGGGGCCATCGCTGTGTGTTGGTGGCTGCTTTGTAGTGGTAACACTGTTTACTAGGGGAGACCTGTGGTGGTGGTACTAGTATCCACTGTCTCTGAACGTTTTCGGACAAGTCAAACTTGTGACCGACAAGATACAAATGAAATTTCTTATCATATTTAACAAATAAATAAGCTAAAAAAATATACAAGTAAACTGTTGTGTAGGCAATCACGGTTTTTATGTATTTATTTGTCTCAGTTATTTTTAAATCTGTCTAAATATAAATCTTAATATTTTAATAGGTATGAAATTTAGTTTTAGTAAGTGTAGTATGTATATCCTCAATAATATTCATATTACAGATCCTCTTTTTTAATCTATCAGTATGACGTTCCATATTACTTGAGACGATTGTTGCAGGTCGGAAAGCCTATGTATCTAATTGTTTTAAAAATGTATAATGGCAAATAAAATAAAATAAATAGGTAATTGAATGTAACTCCTTCCGACATATAACTTATTAGTTGGAGCTGTAAAAACTTCTATTTTGAGATATTCTTCACCAAACATATTTTAAATGAATGTGTAGAACAACCATAGGTAAGTCTTATAAGGCAATATAAACGCCAAGGGAAATCACTGATATAGAAATACCGCAATACCTTATAGCGAGAAACCCCAAGGTGGATCGTGCTTTGATTTGGTGCGCCTGCCTGGAGGGCTGGTCCATGCAAACAAACAAAAATATAAATATAAAGAGTTTGATACGTTATTTAACAACGTGTGTATTAAAGGTATTTTATTTGAGTACAATAATAATATTTCGACTGTGTTTATATTGCTTTAGAGCCAACATATTCCCACGATGAAGAAGAAGTTTATTGTGTTCCAATCGTGAATAATAACTCTATACTTCAAACTCAGAGAACGTTGAAACGTCCCAACAAAAGAAAAACGAGAGCGATCCAGTAAGCTTCACTCTTAATAGAATGCACAGTATGCTGCATGAATGCTACAGTAAGCTGGATTGGCGTTATTTAAACATAAAAGTAACCGTCGTTTTCGACGGGTTTCACATACTTATATTTTGAATAAGCTACCTACCTAGATTACAATGTGAGAAAACAAAAATATCAATACAGTTATACAGAAATAAAGTAACGTTCAATTAAACGGTTTACTAATCTTGTGTATTCATCTAGTTAGGTTAAGGCTAAAAAAGGCAGTTCCCATCGGCGAAATATTTGCAATTTTCTATGTATGATTTATTAATCTTGACACCAATGGATAAAACTCAAGGTATCAGTGTTGAATATTTGAGTTAGATATCCGTTATTGCTCTCTGGCGTTTTTAAAATGCTGACATCGTTTTGGAGATAACACATTCAATGACTTTTTATGCGAGTATCGCTTTTTAGTAAACCTTAAAGAATTTTAGTGGACTCAACGTATTAAAACATTAATACTAACACAAAATTATATACCAAGTAGAGCTAAAATCCTCTAATTATCATCACGATTATTTCTTAGACCAATCTTAGACAAAGTACTAAGGATATTACTGTGGAAAATTTCTTAAACCGAGCACAATTTAAAATTTTTGACAATCGTTAATCATACTGACTTGAACTTCTCTGTCATCTTTAGCTCAAATTACATATTACAAATTTCAATGATAGAAAAAGCATTCATAGCACACAGCACACACAAGAGGTAAACCCAAAATTTTCCTTACTACAGCTACGCTTGGCAAAAACCAGAAACTGTTTCAAAATTAACTACGCGAGATTTTTCAATAAATTGTGTGACACTGTCAGAGTTGTTTATATGAGATATTTTAAAATTAAATTATCTGAGGGGCTTATTGCCATTCCTTTTTTAATGGACGAATTTTTGCATGTCCTTATGTCCTTTATTTTACTTTAATATTTAATTTCATGTCATTGACTGTTACTGTTTTTATTGTTAACCTCTATGTATCGTTACTGTTAAATTAACATTTTTAAGTGTTTGTAATAATTATTAGCATCTTATGTACTGTATTTATTTAATTTATTGACTACGCCAATGTCTGAATTCCATGGATCAAAGGCAATCAAGATTCTTGATTCTCATCCCTATTCGACATCTAGCAGGTGGAGCAGTACTCCCTGCTTGCGCTTAAGATTTGTTCCGTAGTTAACCAAATTCTTAGAATTAAAATGGTTCTTAAATATTACTTTATCCCCTTAGTTAGTTTGTGTCTAAACTAAGGACGGAAAAGGAAAGGTAAATATTATCCCGACAGAGCAAATATCTGTAGGCAAACCACCACTTGCCCATCTGCAAGTACTCCTTTTACCCTTGCGCAAGTTCAACGCACCATGCTCGTCACCTCTCCCCAATATTTTACAAAACTATTAAGTACTTCAAAGTTATCGAAATGTACAAATAACTAATTATGAACAATGCCAAAATTACCACATTCCACCACAAGATAAAAAAAAACGTAAATTAAGTTTAAGCATTTCTAACAGCAAATAAATAAATTTATGCTTAGAAAGTCTAAGAGTGGAGATCCAGTAAATGGACCTGAATTTACTTCGTGGGCTAAAAGTATCATTCGCCAAATGCGTTTTCTCCGTTAAACGTGTGCATGTGTCGGAAAAAGTCCCTTAATATCCTAGTGACAAATTACACTATTACGTTACGGCGTAATTAGGTGTTAACTGATAAATTTTTAATACTCTTCAATAGCCCAATTATAAGTATGCTTGTCACCACTCATAATCTTTACCTTTAGTTGTGAACTATTAATTTTCCTTTTGTGTTTTATATTTAATATCATATGTTCAGCTGTTTAGTGTTTATTTAATATTTTGTAAACAAATATTCAATTACATTCTATGTTCATCCAGACTAGACCTATCTCCTCTCTTTCTTTTTATACTTACTTTTTGATATACTCAAATTACCAACAATCTGCATTCTGCCAATACTAATATATTTAACTATGATGTCCTCCTCCGGTTTGGGAGTGGTGGAGGACAAAACCAATAATATTAGTGATGGCGGGGGCAGCGGTGTTAACAATGCTATATTTCTTTTGAAAATAGATTATACATCATGATGTGCTGAATTAACAATCTCAATGACGTTGTGGTAGTACGTAAGAAAGTTAAACTATTGTTGGAAACCCCGGGCTATGGTAGGATGAAAATTATACTATTACAAAGTGCATTCACTTCAACAGTCAAACAAAGTAATGGTTAAACAAACTCACTCATAATATTTTAAGAAAATGTTGAATGGGTCTTTTCCCTGAGAGAGTAGACGGAATGCTTTAGCCTCTCAATTGAATAAGACAAATTTTCTACCGAAAGTCATCAGGTATTTTTATCCGGATTAATCCAACGTGTAGTTTTCAAAACCAGCATATGACATTATATAAGCATACACAGCATTTTAGTTATTTTAATGGTTTCATATCATTTTATTGTATGCCATTCACGTACAGACAAATGTTGTCATTTACGTTTTTAACAATGTTACATGTTAAATTCAGAAGCAATTCATAAGCTTGGATATTATGAAAAAGTTGAAGAAACGTGACCGTAATGTCTTCTTCACTGGGGAGGGTTTTTCTTCCTGCTTGGCGTTCAGAATGACTATGCGACCCTCCACCGCTGGGTAGACCGGGGAGTGCTTCTCTACGTACTTGGTGAGCACTACGTAGTCAACGTCATCTGGTGGCAAGAAATTTCTTTAGTACCGTAATCTGATTTATAAAAACTAGTCGCTCTGTCCCTGATTCGCTACGGGTGAGAATAAAGAGAATAATCTGGGTCTTTAATTTCACTGCGAATAAGTTACACACTTACCATAGTTTATAGAGACAAAGCTAAATCGTTCTTATAGCCTACTTTTATGGACATTTCTTATGAATTTACAATAAACTGTGTGGCAGGATCAAAACTTAGGCTATGTAAAAATTTAAGTCCGAAAAAGTTAACAAACAGTTATAAAAAAGATTACAATGCAGCTTTGATATTTTAATCGTGATAAAATATAACGATATATAAAATATATGATAAAATATCAAATATATGCCTCTGACTGGGGTTCGTAACCTTTCGATACGATTTGTCGAAAAACAAATATTATTTGGGGATGTTTCACATCAAGGCCATTCACTCAAGTATACGCTTGATAGATGTGAGGTGTACGGTTTTCTCAAAAGTCCATGATCTTTATTAGCTTTTTATATAGTGTGGCTGAAGAGTAACCTGCATCCCCCTTAAAAATTTTCACTATCTGCGAAACTTGAAATCGGTTGCGGCAACTTTCTTAGATATAAGAGGCTACAATAATTAGGAAATTTTATTTTCAATTGTATCCTTAGGGGTATTGGGGTTATGCTACGATCAATCAAATTGTTTGAAACCTTTCTCAACGGGCAGTCCTCTGACTGCTGCATGAGTCTATGACCACTAAGCTATTGATCTATCCTATTCTTATAGTCGTGAATAGAGCTACCATAGGATTAATTAAATGTGCGTTTATCACATGCCAGTATATATTGCATTTCTAAGTTAAGCAGCAAAATAAACTAAACAAATTACCAATTCAATATGCCTTCTGACTCTTCCTTAAAGTATGAATTTATCTTCAGAATAAGTACAAACAAGATAATGTAACATATCTTCACACAGTATCAAATACGTAGCCAGCGAGAGCTCTTATCATGCACAAGAAGATTCAAAGTAGCCTACAACAGGTTTTTGAACATTCTATAGGAACATACCAAAGATGTAGGTGTTAGGTATGTTGGTCAGCATACTGAAGCCATCCCCCTCCATTAGCGATATTCTCCAGCATTGCAACCTTGTAGATGGCAGTCTTGTCAAGAGGTGTGTACTCAGCCCTGTCACAGTCGGCGCAACGAACCTGTACACTGACTACCCTACTGCCAGGGGCTGCCTGCATGTTGTACACTACCTTCAGTCCTGCACATACAAGAGGGAATCAGGAGTCGCTGATTACAAACACAAATGTACTAGTTTGAACTCTTATTTAGCGTTAACATCTTTTTACTGAAACTTACTAGGGAATAAGTTAGCAGTGCACATACCGGTGAGAGAATTTCAGAGGTGATGGAAATAAGAAGGTATTAAATTTGAGCTAGTGTCAGAGTCTAGAAGTATGTGGCCTCAGTCTCAGTGAGTGTGACGTCTAACAAAGGACTTGCCATGACTAACCAAAGACCTCTGCGACCATTCAGACATTTGTATGATTATCTAGTGCCTATGTGTCTAATAAAAACTTGTATGACTAATCAGACACTTGTATGACCATCTAGCACCTATGGGTCTAACAAGAGACTTGTATGACTAACCAGACACTTGTATGACTAATCAGACACTTGAATGACTATCTAGCGCCTATGGGTCTAACAAGATACTTGTATGACTAACCAGACACTTGTAGACTAATCAGACACTTGAATGACTATCTAGCGCCTATGGGTCTAACAAGATACTTGTATGACCTAACCAGACACTTGTAGACTAATCAGACTCTTGAATGACTATCTAGCGCATATGTGTCTAACAAGAGACTTGTATGACTCAACCAGAGACTTGTAGAAACTCGCCGACAGGACCCCTTGAACACTTGCTCGTATCTGTGTACTGCGTCTCCAGCACATCTAGTAACACACTCCCTCTCAGTTCCTTCACTACAATTTTTCCTCCCCAAGGTAGTATTGATACAACGTTTCCTGCAGTGATAGGACCTATAATAGAAACCATATTCAGTTCTGTAAATATTGGACATCTAATGGAAAATCTGAGTTTATTGAGGGATTTGGTGAATATTCCATATACAGAATAAGCTATTATACCGAGCATGGTGAGAACCTGGGCCCAGTACCGTTTAAGGAAAATAAATAATAACTAGTGCTTGTAGGGACATAAGTCCCTAAAAAGCTCAAACGTAAAAAAATTATTGGAATATTTAAACAAACTCAGAATAAAATTATCTATGAGTCATGATAGATATCAGTCTAAAAAACAGTTTGTTGTTTGTCTTCGTTTGCTTTTGTTGATGTAATTTTCAATTAATAGTTTGAATGAACCAAGAGGTTTAACTCTGCTAAAGGCAGCAAACATGTTTGTGAATTAATATTGGTTTTTCTAACGTAGCTTTGGTCTTTTGGTTAAGGATAATAAAAAGGCTTCCCTGATTGAAATATTGGAAATTGTCTTCTCTTCATCAAATATACATAAAAAAAAGCTTTGTGACATAAGCTTAGTTTCTGGTCAAAAACGCTAAATTAGCACCCCGACCCCAGTTATTATTTCTAAGTTTATGCTCCTTTTATAATGGTTTGGCAAAATTAGTGTAAAGTAAAGGCACCCCGACCAAACCTAACCCTAGATTTTTTTTCTGATCAACATTTTTAAAACTACTAGTGTAAGTGTATGTGGTGGTATTCCTCCTAAAGGTGCGATTGACTTTACATATTCTATCAAAAAAGCCCTAATCAACGCCTGATTACTAACTATTTTGAGACTGGTTAGGTTTCCATCACCTAGTTAGTGAAGCCAATCACGAATGACTTTTTTCAGCTATTCTAAGTAAATTCCTTTCATTGGAGCCATCTCCTATACACAAGTTTGCAAATTGCCCGGTAAAACAATTTATTTCAACTATCTAAGACGTGAATAAAAAGTCTAAATTATTATAGGTAACGTTATTCCCAGGTTTTATATAGTATACAGTGCATTGCAAAATTGACTGGCAGATGAGTAATCCAAATGTAATATTGCTTACTGATAAATCACGATCAGCTGTATTGAAGTAAACAAAAATCAGGCTTCTTAATGCTATTCTTATGGAGAACATTTTACGTTATAGCTAATTTTGTGTTAATATTTTGGAGATTTCACTATTTTTCCCGCCGTCACGGGATCGAGACCTTTAATTTTGAGCCCTCTCCCGTCGTTCTATGACTTCCCAGTCGCCACAATTTTGACGCAAAGAATTGGCTTACGTAATTGATATAGAATAGAAATAGAATATAGAATACATTTATCGCCTGTAAAAATAATGTTGTACAACCAAGGAATTAGATATTTTTTTCTACTAAAATTAAACGTTCTTTTTCAAATTTTTCATTCAAACCAAAATGTATTATTAATATCGAGTTCGTCCTTAATTATAATTTTGATTACAATATTTAAGCTATAAATTATACCATCTCGGTAGACCTAAACTACAATTATACACTTTTGTCGACAGTTTTACGGGGACTTGACATGGGTGGCTCCCACTTCTTGCTCAACCTTGAAGAGATTCTCTCTAACCCTTCTCTATGTCACCAGAATTTTTCACTGAGTTAACACACCGATTGTGTATTTGTTCCGTAGTAAACTTGATGTACTGTGATTATTATTATGAAAATTATTATGTAATGCAATTGTGTTTATTATGTACATCATACATCTTAGTGTACCAAACACGATGTTTCAACTGTGTGAAGTTTCTATCTCTTAGTTCAACAGTATACTATCACATTGCAAATGTCTAAAGTTGATAACAGATTAACTTCAAACGGTATAAGTTAATTAATTGATAACTAATTAAAATTCATTGTTGAAGCCCCGGAACTGTAATATATAAAATATCTGGCTTTTACAATACCTTTATCAGTTCCAAAAACTTTTGGAACTTTTGGAACTGATAACAGGTATTGTAAAACAGATATTTTATAATTGATAACTGTGACCTACGAATAGATAAGAACTATCCATTTTATAAGAAGCCATTGAATATTGTAAAAATGTGTTAAAAATAGTAAAAAGATAATGTAAACAGTTGCAAAATATTGTACAGTAAAATAGTTAGTTAGTATAATATTTATCTATAAAATATAATGTAGTGGTTTATTGAAGTAGTAACAAATAAAATAACCCAATAACAGTGCAACAATAAGCTTGCATCAACGTTTATTTTTACAACCCTGAAGTTTAAAATACATGTTTTATTTAAAACTGTAAGTCAAGAACTAAGCTAGGAGCACCACTAAAATTGAACTCATACATTGGTTTTCTGCTAAAGAAATAGAACGAACGTGAGAATATTTGATATGTTTTTATTGTAAAATAAATTTAAAATCCTACAAAAGACTCTTAATTTAAGATTAATTACCCCTTTGATTGATAGAGGCACGTATTCCACCAGCTTGCTGTATGGCTACAGAAGCTACGGTCCAACCCTGACTATTCGTGTATTTTACTGTGTTGCCTGAAACACAGTATCTAACAATTATTTGGTTATATATCTTTAAATCTCTAATTTAGAACTAACATTGTTAGATGAAAAAATCAAACTAAACATTGCGCTGCCAGTATATTGTGGATGTATTAACAACTACTTAATGGTAAACCCCCGTTTTTATTGCAGCATGACGAAAAGCAGAATAACAATTCCCAGCCAAATTCCTGTCCCCGTGACAATTTCTCATAGCAACTACTATTGGAAGGGGCCTGGGGGGGTGGAGCCCCGAGCGAGCAAAAGTCGAGTATCCTTACAAACGAAATGTTTACAATCCTTACAAAAACCCTTACAAACTTATACAAACGAAAATTGCACAGTGTAAGAAACTTACGTAGTCCACATATGAGTCCGCTAACATGTTGCCAATGTTGCATTCTGATATCATACAAGCAAGTTTTCTTATGGTTCAGAGAACACCTGTGTGGCACCCACGACCTTGCCAAGCTTATCGTCAAGTTGCTTTTCGTACGGTTGAAGTGCAGCGAGCACATCCGGGTCTGTAATATAGTGTAATTGAAAGCATGGCATTTGTATAAAACTGTATCCTTACCATGATTAGTAATTATTGGTTATAAGCCTCCTACATGTCTAAAGTTATGAGCTAACAAGGTAGTATCAATAGTAAGATGATATACTTTACTTATATTACTAATGGAATTGTTTAGAATATTAGCAAATGTAAACAACAATTGGTTCATAGACTTAATAAAAATAATACAAAACCATTAATAAAACCAACGAATAAAATAATTCTCTTATGTGTAAAATGGTTATTTTAGCAACCAACATAAATCTATACTTATTTAATACGTATACTAGTTTAATCTTAAGTTATTCAAATAGGACATAGATCTTACAGCTTTAAGAAAGACAAATTTAAGTGAAAATACAATCAGGCAAATTAATATTTTCTTAGTCTGCAGTTTTGCTGTGGCAGGGATATTGTATATATTTAACCTTTTTATGAATTAAGCCTGTGACGATATCGAGCCTCTTTATATCAGAGTCCGACAAACAAAACAGTGATGAGGCTGTGGACTATATAACACAATGAGACTCAAAAAACCGTTGGGCCTTGAATTTAATATGATAATGTATTGTAGCCCGGGAAGAGAATTTAAGCCATGGCTTGATCGGAGCTGAAATGTTTCTCGTTTAACCCTCTATGGTTTTTAAGCTTTTGTAGACTTCTAGCCTTGAATCGGATCAAACCTTAGAGAGTATCGGTGTTAAGCCCTATCGAGATGTAACCTTTAAAATTAGGGTTTAAACTTTCTAACAGTTTAGTCTTATATCGATTTCAAACTCCAAACATTGTATTTTTATACCTAGACTTATCCTTCACAGTTGGAAACAACCCGAAGTATGTTTGAAATGCCACACAAGCTTTGATACAGGAGACCAAGTACATCAAAGTATATACTATTTTTTTACGATTGTAAAAAAAATAGTAGGCTAATGGAGGGGATGGTGTGCTGAGACAGCTGGTTTTTATTTTTGGTTTCCATGGAAATAATTGATTGTAAATAAACTAATACTAAAGAAAGAAAGTTGATACAATTTTAACTCTTTATTTATTCTACATTTATTAACTTAAAACTTAATTTAAAGCAGGAAAACCAAACATAACTTTACTTATCCACGGATATCACTATATGGTAGCAGAGCGTGGTTTCCTGCTTTAACTTTTTACAACTTTCTAAACTTAACTTCTTTACTCAAAATTTTTACTACTTCCAACTTTGAACTTCACTTTCCCAAATAACTAAGAATGACTTCAAGATGGGACCTTCGATTGAAATCTGCCTTACTACGACTGAAGACTTATACTACTGATACAAATGCATTCTTGGAGACTACAGACTTAACAGAACTACAACTTCAAACACGACTACGGACTTTGACAAGCTTTGTAAAGAGAGTGGAAGAAATTCAAAAACGTTTGGACACCGAGCCTATTACTGAAGATGGACAAACTGAAGGACCCACCACAGAGGACGACTTCATAAACACTATGATGGACTGTGAGGAGGTGCTTGCACAGCTTACGGTAAGACTAGATATTTCTCAAACTAATAAGTCACAGGCAACAGTGCCTGATACGTCTACCGTTCAGCCAATACCAACTATACAGCACCAGTATGTTCAACTACCAAAGTTGGTATTACCAACCTTCCAAGGGGACATGCTACGGTGGCAGGAGTTTTGGGATAGTTTTGAGTCTGCCATTCATAGCCACCCCACACTCAGTAACGTTGACAAATTTAACTATTTAATTGCACAATTAAAAGGTGACGCTAAACGTTGCATCGCTGGACTCCCCATTACAGATCTAAACTATGATATTGCTATTACCTTGTTGAAAGACAGATTTGCTAAGAAACAGGAAATAGTGAATTCTCATTACTGTGCCTTGAGGGATATGCCACCTATCAAGTCCAGTGACACGGTAACACTAAGGCGAGGATTTGACAACATTGAGAAACATATGCGTTGTCTTCAAGCCTTAGGTGAAGACGTTACTTCTAACTACTTTGTTTCTCAAATTTTCAGTAAGCTGCCCTATGAAATTGTTTTGAAAGTTGAAGAAATGAATATTTCTGGTGAATTGGATGTTAAAACTTTGTGCAAATTTGTAAATAACTTAATTTCGATTCGGGAGAAAGCAGAGCAACTGACGACCTCAACACCTAGCACTTCATCTTACTCTAATAGTTTTGTTACTGTTCCCAATCCACAGGCGGACACTAAGAGGTTGACAACTACCCACTCACTCGTGGGAAACGATAAATTAAATTGTATTTTTTGTGAAGGAACACATTGGAATGACCAATGTACAAAATATCAATCTGCTGAGGCACGTAAGAAAGCAATTCAAGGTAGGTGCAACGTATGTTTAAGTAAGGGACACACTGTGAAATTTTGTAAATCACATAAAAGGTGTGTTTACTGTAAACAGCAGAATAATCACAATAGAAGCTTATGTACCAAACAGTTTCCTACAGACCAAATTTCTAGAAACACCATCAAAGTAGACACCCGATCAACTAATCATGCCAAAGCTCTGCCTGCAAGTAACTCCAACCCGAGCAAGGTACCTATAAATACCGAAGAGTCTGCTTTAATTTCTATGTCGGAGAGTGTTATTCTTCAAACTGCAACTATTACTTTGCGTAATGCTGATACTAAACAAGAAACGCGTTGTGGTGTTCTTTTTGATAGTGGTAGTCAGAGGTCTTATGTGTCCAAAGGTTTGGCTTCTAAACTGAGTTTGAATAGTAAATATTGTCAATCATTGTCTTTATTTACGTTCGGCAACCGTGAATCTAAAACTGTTGAGACTCAAGTAACAGATGTTCGATTACTGCTGAACGATGACACATGTATGGATATTATAGTAAACATTGTTCCACATATCACTGGGAAGGTAGTTTCTAGTACCAATATCAACTTAAATACAATTGCTTCCTCCTATCCCAAATTAAAGTTAGCAGACGGCCAGTTTACTTCACAAAATATTGATCTATTAATAGGGAACGATTATTATTTTGATATCATTCAGGGTCAGAAGATAGAAATTTCACCAGGCTTATTCTTAGTGAATAGCAAATTTGGTTGGATCGTAACTGGTAGGCATAACGATAACAATGATCATTTCCCTCTGATGTACGAGTCATCTTTTCTTACTCTAGTGAAACCCAACAACTTATTTCCTAGGTCACCACAAACTTTAAAGCCAGATATCAATATTTGTGAAGGTGACGACATCAAAAACTTGTGGCAATTAGAGACTATTGGTATTAAGGATGACCCACACGTGAAAGATGATGACATCGCATTGATTAAATTTAATGAGACTGTTAAATTTGAGAATGGTCGTTATTCAGTTTCCTGGCCTTGGAAAGATTATCCTCCAAATTTACCCACAAACTACAATCTTTCTCTCGGTCGTTTGAAATCTTTAACAGATAGACTTTCAGACAAACATAATCTTCTATGTGAATACGACTCGGTAATTCAAACCCAATTGAAAGACGGTATAATCGAACGAGTGAGTTTTTCAGACAGAAACGATGGAGTCCTTCACTATATACCTCATCACCCTATTATCACTGAGTCGAAAACCTCAACTAAACTTAGGATAGTGTATGACGCGTCAGCCAAAACCAGAAAAGGCAACAATAGTCTTAATGATTGTCTTTACCGTGGACCTGTAATTTTGGAAAACCTATGTAGTTTACTTTTACGTTTTAGAATGAATGCTATTGGAATTATTGCTGATATTGAGAAAGCATTCCTTCAAATAAATCTTCAAACTCCAGATAGAGATGTAACTAGATTTCTGTGGCTCAAAGATCCTTTGTCAGCACCTACTAAGGATAATATTGAGGAGTATCGATTTTGTAGGGTTCCGTTTGGAATCATATCCAGTCCATTTTTACTCAGTGCTACTGTTTTTCATCATTTGTCAAATTGTGAACTTGATAATCTTAATGAAAGGTTGAAGTCTTCATTTTATGTTGATAATGTGGTTACCGGATGTGACACAGATCAAGAGGCCACAACACTATTTACAACTGCTTCTAGTTTGTTCTCTGATATTAACATGAACCTTAGATGTTGGTCTTCAAACTCAAAGACACTAATGACACAAATACCAATGGAAAAAACTACAACTGAGAATCCTACTGATGTTAATGTTCTTGGATTAAGATGGAACACCAATCTTGACAATCTTCACATAAAACCTGTTAACAATGACAGAAACAAACCTATTTCAAAAAGACAAGTTTTAAGTACTATATCATCCGTTTTTGATCCCTTAGGGTTATTATCCCCTGTAACACTGAAGGCTAAAATCTTTCTCAAACAGTTGTGGGAAGACAATTTGGATTGGGACGAATTACTAGATGAGCCTAAATGTAGGGAATGGAATATTATATGTGATGATATTATTAAAGTAACTGAAGTTTCTATTCCTCGATTCGCAGGATTACGAGCAGATCATGTAGAGCTCCATTGTTTTACGGATGCATCAAAGGATGTATATTCGTGTGCTGTGTATATCAAATTAATTAGTAAGGAGACTGTCAAAGTGACTCTCATGTTTTGTAAAAGCCATTTAACTCCAAAGTCAAAGCCGAAAATTACCCTTCCAAGACTCGAACTTTTAGGAGTGTTGATTGGAACAAGAGCATTACGTTTTGTGGAAGAATCCTTAAAATTTCCTGTTGTAAATAAGATACTGTGGACTGATTCACAATGCGTGTTACGTTGGATTAGCACAACAAAGCTGCTTCCTAAGTTTGTGGAGAGAAGAGTAATGGAGATCAAAACCAACACCGAGACGCAATTTAGATACGTTCCTACTGACGAAAATCCAGCTGATATGGCGACTCGAGGTAAAACGGTGGATAATCTGAAACACTGCAATGAATGGTGGTCAGGTCCACAATGGCTGTCTTGTAGTCAAGACTTGTGGCCGGATTGGTCTTCTGATTTTAACAAGCCATTAACTGAAGACGATATGGTTGAAACTATTGAAGAAAACGTCGTCACCTTGACTACAAAGACCGAAGACGTGAGTGAAACTAGTCCTTTTGGCATAGATATACAAAGGTTTTCATTACTTTCGAAACTGATTTTGACAACAGTTTATTGTAAAAGGTTTATAAGTGGATGCAGGCGGAATAAACGACCAAATCATGTTATTCCTACATCTGAAGAACTCAAAGATGCTCGTTTATCGTGGATCAAACATGTTCAAAACACTTGTTTTAGTGAAACACTAAGTAATATAAGAGATGGTAGGTATGATAGATTGCAGAATCAACTTGGCCTATTCGTTGATATGAATGGACTTATCAGATGTAAGGGTAGGATCTCAAATGCAGACCTTGAAGAATATTGCAAGTTCCCTATACTTCTACCAAAGAACGATTTATTTACTCAACTGCTCATAGAAGAGTGTCACTGTAAGATATTTCACATGGGAGTGCAACAAACTCTCTCGGAACTTCGGAAATCCTTCTGGATAATCCATGCATAGATAAAACATACTCCCTTAGTAGATTTCTCATCCTAATGGAACAGCTGAAGACAATTTTATTGTTAGTTCTGTACGGTTTATGTTAGAGGTCGTGTTTTGTTTACAATTTGTTTCCCGTTAATACAGTCATTTAAAACCTCGTTTAACCAAATAATACGATCTAATCATAAACAATAAATTGTCCCCTAGTTATTTAACCAATCAGTAAAGCACAAATCAAGAAATTAACCCTAAAATAATATAAACAAAATTTCGTCGACACTAGCGCCCAGTGTGGCGTACATGAACTAGACATGAAAAACGAGCTTCAAAATTTACAATGGGATGAGAAGTCTACTTGTGTTGGTTAGTCTATGATCCATGGCAGAGCTGAAGTCAACAGAGTTTTGCGAAAATGTTTGAAATGTTTAAAATACGAAGGTGGACCATACAAGCTGCCCCAAATACCCTCGCTTCCAACAGAACGGGTGACTGAAAGTATACCTTTCCAATTTACAGGACTTGACTACTTTGGCCCTCTCTACATTAAATCCTTTCAAGATTCTAGAGTTGAAGTTTCAAAAGTTTACGGTTGCATATTCACCTGTTTAGTCACGAGAGCTGTTCATTTAGAGATCACCAATAACTTGTCGTCAGAAGAATTCTTACTATCTCTCAGGAGGTTTGTGGGAAGAAGAGGTACTCCGAAGAAGATTTACTTGGACAACGCTACTCAGTTTAAGAAGGCTTCCTCGTTCTTGAATGATATGTTTGTTGAACATCTCGATACACCAGAATTACTGTCTTATGTAAGTGAAAACCACATCGAATTTACTTACATCCCAGAGTTTGCCCCTTGGATGGGAGGAATGTACGAGAGGTTGATATCTTTGATAAAGAGATGTTTAAGAAAGAGTATTGGTTCAGTTACTCTGACTAAATCACAACTCGACACTGTGATGATTGAAATAGAAGCTGTTGTCAACTCAAGACCACTAGTTTATGTATCTTCCTCAGATCAAAGTTTGACTGACTTTATTATAACTCCTGGCCACTTCCTTAACTTCCATGGAAAAAATGGTTTTGTAAATAGTTTGAATGAATGTCAAGAAAACGACATGGAGTTTATTTCTAAAGTGACTGAATCGGACTTATTAAAGATGTGGAAAAAGGGAACCAACAACTTAAATAGCTTTTGGAAGATTTGGAAGAAAGACTATCTGTTGAGTTTAAGGGAGAGAACTCAACATAATATCAAACAAGGAAGAATTCTGTCAACCCAACATCCACAAGTTGGTGATGTAGTTCATGTTCACGACACATTACCCAGAGGGACATGGCGACTTGGGAAAATAGAAGTCCTTAACGTCAGTGCTGATGGAAACGTAAGAAGTGTCAAATTAAAGTTAGGATCTGGGAAATACATCACCAGACCTATTAACTTGTTGTATCCCATTGAAGTCTCTGACGTGAATTCCGGAAAGAAAAAAGGGGCCCAGAACAACTAACTAATGATGTGGGAGTGTGCTGAGACAGCTGGTTTTTATTTTTGGTTTCCATGGAAATAATTGATTGTAAATAAACTAATACTAAAGAAAGAAAGTTGATACAATTTTAACTCTTTATTTATTCTACATTTATTAACTTAAAACTTAATTTAAAGCAGGAAAACCAAACATAACTTTACTTATCCACGGATATCACGATAGATGGCTTCAGTATGCTGACCAACATACCTAACACCTACATCTTTGGTATGTTACTATAGAATGATTGTAATAATTTTGTACCCTAAGTCTATAGTTTAATCAATTTTAACCTGGACATTTATGTATCATCATTCCAGGACTGATTGTAGCTGTGACCTCCAGCCTTTATTAAAATTACATACAGAACGTTTAAGATGTCTGAAAAAGCTAAAAAACTACATATGTCAAACTAATAAAGGCTTGAAAAATACTACGTATTTACGCTTAAAACAATTTTCCACTGCCTGGACAGAGTCCTAAAGCGAAACTTGTAGACCCTACGTGTCCGATTTGCTCATCACTTACTTGCTCCTTTTCACTCCTGATAGCGATAGCTCAAATTATTTATACCCTCTGACCACAGACATCTACAGTATTCATTACCTTGAGGCAAGTCGCCGCTCAGAAGTATTGGCGCTCCGTTCCAACTCTTCAGGTTTCCTTCGTCGTCAAAGTCCAACTCCAGGTATCCCAGGTATCTGGTGCCGTAGGATGCTTGGACCACGGGCACTTTCTTGCCACTGGCTTGGGTTATGACTGTAGGGTAGTCACCTCTGACAGTGTGATTAGGATCTGGTGGAGTCCCTACGAAAATAAGTAAATAGTCGTAAATACTGCCTTATACTGCTCTAGCACCATTTGTACAAAACAGGAAATGGGTGTCTCAGTAGAAAGTCTGTACACCCATCGGCTCTGACGAGACGTCATCTTGTACGTCAAAGAGCTTCATCGGAAATACACTCCAGGGGAAGACGTCAAATAAAAACATTAGTCTAATAATATTATTTAATCCATCTTATTTGGAATCAGTTTGAATAACCGTTAATCACATGTCATTACTTGTCGATCATAAATAAATAGGTATTTAAATAAAAACTAGTAGTAAGAAGACATGTAAACAAATCAAAATGTATACAATAAAGCTTTGGCATATGTTTGAAAATAGAAAAGCAAATATTTTGAAAGCAAAATCTTGAAGTGCTGATTATTTTCCATGAAAAACATCAATAATTATACTTATTTCTTGACGGTTACTAAGTAAATTTATTAAAACATTAATCTATAGCTTTATATTATTGTTAAGAAATGTAAACTTAGTAAAAATAAAATAAAAACGAAGCTGGAGTTTTTTTATTTTTTTTATTTTAACATTAGTCTTATGGGTAGCCATGATGGTTACAAAATAACAACGTAAATGTAAACTCAACAGAATCATAGCATGTGCTTAAAATCAAGCCAATATACGATCTAAACACAGTAAAATGGATAAGAATTTGTATGATGATGACCACTGATCAAATAATTCAGAGAAAGTATTACACGCCATTTGGAAACTACCGATGATAGAATAGGTAAAGTATTTAAACAGTGCAAGTAAACTTATTATCCAATGTTGACTATAACCACATGTGTTTGATAGCAACAAATCGATCTTGTGCAAATGAGAGCCAAACAAACAATTTTAATAAACTGTGTTTAACTAATAAAGCATATTGCTAAATTAATGTTTAGGTAAGTTGGCTTGAATCAACAAAATAGCAGTGTACCAACTGAGTTAAACAACGCATTCTATACTTCCCAACCTATTTTAAAATTTGAATTTTTTATAGTATCGTGTTGGCAACACACTTTATCGTCATGTTGTACGGGTCAGCATTAAAATAATCTACTTTAATTCTACAGGGTGTTAAAAAAGGCGGGGACATATCTTACCTAGTGATTCCTTGTGTCAAAATAAAGAGAAAATCAAGAATAACATTTTTTCCAAAATCGCTTCGAAAACCAGATATCCGCCATTTTGTATTTTTTTCATAAACATTTTTATTTTTGACGTTTTCAACCGATCTTTATAAAACTTGGTATGTAGGTTAAGGTAGAAAAGACCAATGTTAGAAAAAAATCATCTTGATTCAATTTAAAATTTCAAAATGGCGGCCATTTGAATTTTTTTAACTTAAATTACTCAAAAACGGCTAATGTTATAAACATTTTCAAGAACACTTTTATTTAGCAGTTTTGATTCCCTATGAAACTATACCAAGTTCAAAAATATCGAATAAGAAATAGCTGAAATATTAAGATTTTTAGTTGTAAAATGGGGTAGAATACGGCAGAAACTAGTCAGGTTTACCCCATTTTACAACTAAAAATCGTAATATTTCAGCTATTTCTTATTCGACCTTTTTGAGCTTGGCACCGTTTGATATTTAATTGAAAATGCTAAATAAAATCGTTTGTGGCATTTAAAAGTAGCATTTTAAAAGTTTTAAATGGCCGCCATTTTGAAATTTTATAATGAATCAAGATTAACTTTTTTTATGACACGGGTCTCGTCTACCTTAACATACATACAAAGTTACATAAAGATCGGTTGAAAATATTAAAAGGGGAAAATGTTTATGTAAAAAATACAAAATGGCGGATATCTGGTTAACGAAGCGATTTTGGAAAAAATGTTATTCTTGATTTTCTATTTATTTTGACCCAAGGAATTACTAGGTAAAATATGTCCCCACCTTTTTTGAACACCCTGTATATACAATACTTCTTGGTTGGCAACGACTCGGTGTATACAATTTCCCAATTAACTAAGCCTAAAGTAAAGTTTTTGCGTTTTCGTTTTACAAGAAAATGCCTAATTCACGTAAGAGTGTCATATTTTGGAAAATTTCAGAATGTATTCTCATAAACTGCCTGATATTTGTAGAAAATGAAGACGAACAGAGCTATAAATGCCCGAAACGCACGAAAAAATACTTGAGACAATTGAATGAAGAGCACGTGCTTGATAACAATGCTTTGGAATTATAACTGCAAATTAGAAAACAGACCTTATACACTTATAAGGTATAGTGAAAACTATTCTTGAAATTTTCTCAAAGTAGGCAAGTCTTTAAACAATTGCATCTGTTTATCATATGGATTAATGTTGGATTAGTTTTGCCTGAATTGCCAAATCTGGTCAAGATTGAGAAAATGTCAATTGGTCCGTTTCAACCAGAACTGTGGGATTGCCAGATGAAATTAATAACATAGAAAACATAGCAAACATAGAAAAAAATCTAAAGAAATGTATGTAAATCCCACATTTTTACTTATAAACTTCTTATAGATGTTGACTAGGTCTCGCCCTGTGGTCGAAACCTCGACCAAAAGTACATGCATTGTGCCAACTTCTCTATGTTCACCCCACGCTGTAAATAAAACATATGATTGGAATTTCTTCAATATTTTTTAATTTTCTGTTTATATTTTGTTGTTATTTTGTCACCAACAAGGCATGTTATATTTTAATTTTTTATTTATTGTTGTGCTTTTTTTTAGCCTATTTTAATTTATAAAGGGATTATGCACATCTACGGGCAAATATCTTTCTAACAGTACCGGTATGCGAATATTTTCCCTGCGTTGCACAGAAGGAGAGAAACATGGTTTTCAATAAACGTGCTTGTTTATTAATTTATAGAATTAGCCCCATGTTGAAACTCTATACAGTCCAATGTCAAATGTACACACGTGTACACTTGGTGAGGCAAGTGTGGGAGTAGTCTTAATCTCTTCGTTTGACCTTGGAGAAATACATTTTCGATGGTGGCACTCTTGAAAATGGTGCGTTTGAATGCTGTGGGTAAAAAACAATACCCCCGCCGCAGCAAACCTGCAGACTAAGCGAATTTCAACTTGTCTGATTACATATTTACTAAAAAACTTCCATAAAAAATAAGACATATTTATTCCCAATTCAAATAATATTAGATAGGCTATAACGAGTGCTTAGGTTTGCTGCTACGGGGAAGGTAAACAGTGTTTTATGACCAAAGGTCAATAGTATAGGATGAAATAAATAAGTTTGCCAAATTTGATCAACATATATCCATAAACAAGTTAACTACAACAGTTTTCATTTTCTCCATAAGAATAAAATGGGGATTTTAAATTTGCATTTTTTTTTAATTTTCTCCATGACCGTTAGACATACAACAATGCTTCAATATACTAAATTATTTCTTTTTTTAAGCTCTACAAAATTGTTGGGAAAGAAATTCTAAAATTTTATGTTTTTAGGGTCAAAAATGGGAAAAACCCATTTTACCCCATAAAACCCCCCATAAACCCCTGTTCCCATGGTCCGATTATGCTGGATCGCGAACTCGTTCGAATAAAATGTAGGTTTACACATTTGTACAAAATTTCATCAAAATCGGATCATTTTTGCTCGAGTTATCGCGCTAACGGACACACACACACACACACACACACACACACATACAGGGTGTTGAAAATGTCTGGAACCAACAATATATCTGGTGAGTGGTTAAAGAAAAACAACTGATATTTTGTGTACGGATATACTATGGTTTTACCTATCTTTTGGTGCCTTATGAAATTTTTTACCACTTATAGGGAACGTCCTGTGGAGGATGCAGTAAAAAGTTTTAATGGAAGCATATGGTAAATGATACATCATTTGAAAGGCCATTTTTTTCTGAGTAAGGAGCCGCAAGTTTCATCTCAAAAGGACCACCCTAGCAAAAGTGGCGACTGTTTGAAATTCAAAAACATTGCTATTTAAATGGTCCGTATTTGTTTCCTTTAAATGCTATTACAATCCAGTTACGAAGTACAGTAGCTTATAACGTGGTGAACTGAAAAGTGACTAAAAAAAACATTTAACTAAATTGTTTGTGTTGTTTTACTAAACTTATTTTTAACATAAATACCAATTAAGCTTTCAATTATTTTCAAAAACTTCAAACAGTCGCCATTTTCGCTAGGGTGGTCCTTTTGAGATGAAACTTGTGGCTCCTTACTCGGAAAAAAATTACCTTTAAAATGATGTATCATTTACCATAGGCTTCCTTTAAAACCTTTTACTGCATCCTCCACAGGACGTTCCCTATGAGTGGGTTTTTTAATTTCAAACAGTCGCCATTTTTGCTAGGGTGGTCCTTTTGAGATGAAACTTGCGGCTCCTTACTCAGAAAAAAATGGCCTTTAAAATGATGTATCATTTACCATAGGCTTCCATTAAAACATTTTACTGCATCCTCCACAGGACGTTCCCTATAAGTGGTAAAAAATTTCATACGGCACCAAAAGATAGGTAAAACCATAGTATATCCGTACACAAAATATCAGTTGTTTTTCTTTAACCACTCACCAGATATAATGTTGGTTCCAGACATTTTCAACACCCTGTATATATATATATATGAATTTGAACGGATGGTGTTTTTGGCCTCTAGGGACCTCAAAACGAAAAAAAAAATCGGTCCCGCGTCCAGGTCTTACCATGAGTACTACGGTAATAGCTTATTCCCTATATGGGAAATTCGCTAAAATGGCCGCCATTTATATGTTAAAAGTCATTTAGTTTTTTACCCACAGCGTTCAAACGCACCATTTTCAAGAGTGCCACCATCAAAATTGTATTTCTCCAAGGTCAAACGCAGAGATTAAGACTACTCCCACACCTGCCTCATTAAGGAGCACACGGGAGCCTATATATGTACATTTGACAGGGGAATAATAGGCTAATAAAACATAAGTTTCAATTTTTGACAATATTAACATAAATATTCTCAAAATACGAATAAAGCCTGCACATATAGGACTGATAACCAATTCTTTTAAATACATACCGCGGGTAAATCGGTCTAGTAGTGTGGTAACGGTGGCTGTCGTAAGCGTAAAATTTTGTCCCCATGTTAAATATCCATAAGAAAAGTTTAATTTCCATATTTAACCCAATTAACATAAATATATTGAAAATACAAATAAAACCTGCACATATAGGACAGATATCCTTTATTTTGGTACAACCTGCGTGTAGTTCGGTCCAGTAGTATAATCAGGCCAGCTGCCATAATTTTTGCAAAAGTTTTTTATAAGATTTAATTTCAACCAAATCAGTAAAATGTTATACTGTGATGCGTTTCCTTGAATAGCATCAGCATAGGTCGAGTTTGGTATCAAATTAAAGGTTAAAATGCATTGCCATGAACCCAAACTCAAACATAGAACCGAGTCAAAATGGCAACCGTTCAAATATTTCTTGAATCTGTCATTTTATACACAAATGTTACTCTGAGCACAAATTTACGGTATTGTATTCTATTAAATACCTGGGGACCAAGCTTTGCTTGAGAAAAATCATTATTTTACTATGACAGCAGTCCAGGTATTGCAGATATATTAAACCAACTGCCACAAACGGTTCCCACAATCAGCAACGCTCACCTATGAAAGTATTCCTAGTAAATAAGGATTAAATTATAGCGCGATTACATGTATTGAAGTAAACAAAATCCGTTTTTTATGGATTCGTATGCTATTTTTATATGCTATATACAACGTATATACAATACGATTTTACGTAAATACAAATTTTACAATAAAGCTATAGAAATTACGGATTAGAGACCATTGAGCACTATTTCTACAACTCGCCAGATGTCCACAGTTTTGACACAAAGAATCCTATTAGAATATAATATATAGATAATATGACCAACAAGTTACCCTTGTACAATAAGGTGTGTGAGTGACCTCCGACCACAAGGTCTATCTCCTCGACCTCCTTGGCGATCTGTTGGTCCTTGGCATACCCAGAGTGTCCGAGAGCGATCAAGATTTTAACGTTCTCAGCGCGTAGTCTCTGTGCCTCTTTGCGGATACTAGGAATCTCGTCAAGAATATTAACCTTCCCGACATCTGATGTTAACTGGAAGAACATAACATCTCTTCAGGATCTGGTGTCGTTTGGAAATCAAAAGGCTCTTGGTTCGATACTCAAATTTTTATTGAGCCATTACCCAGCTAAATTTAAAGACCTCCTGGGAATTCATAATGTTTACGAGTAATTATCATCAAATTTGAAGAAATTTAATTATTATAAATATAAATTAAGAACTTATTTATTATTTATTCTTTAGCAAACGGAACAAACTGAGATTAGTAGCTCTACTAAACCAAGGAGCTGGGATACGATAGAGGATATGCGGTACGAGTTACTATATTTACCAATCACGGACAAGCCTCTCTGTAGATCAAGTAGTACACCTCTACCGCCAACTTCCTTTCGCCAGCTTCCGAGAACCCATAGGGTGAAGTGAGTTACCTCTACCCTTGCCAACACTGACGATAAAACCATAGAATTTACTTAGGACAACGTACTGTTTGGCGATACTTACCCGGTTCATCCTATCGTGAAATTGCTGACATTAAATGACCTATTATGATATCCTATGATACCTTGGTGTCTGGCGTCAAGTATCCGATGACGCCAATTTTCACATTATTGACTGTCAGGATGAACGAAGGTGTCAATTTATCCACCTGCATACTCGGTTCCTGGGAAAGATCTAGATTACTGCAGACGTTTGGAACTGACACTTTCTCAATGTATTCAGACAGACTCTTGACTCCGTCGTCAAACTCATGGTTTCCAAGTGCCTAAAACATTTTACCATAAAAGGAGCAGAGGGTGTGTTGTTATAAAAGTGCATGTCACTAAAATTATCACAACGAAATGTGTTTCTTGCGATCAAAGTTTTTGCGAATGAGTTTCGCATGAATTTAATTTTTGTAAATAATAGTAATTATTTTTTACCTTTTATCATTCATTTTTACCTGTAGTCAATATCATTTAAATAATTATTATTCGTGATTTTTTGTTATCTCTCTTGACATTAAGCTACAAATGAACGATGCTACTCGTGGTTGATATTTAAGTTTCCAATGAAAACATCTGTTGTAATTATTTAAATTGCTTGTCAAATGGCTTGACACTCTGATCGTCAAACATTAAACTCATACAGTTACAATTACTTTACCCAGAAAATAGTTAAAATGTATAGTCTACTTTAAGACCAAATAGCCTTTAAATAGATTACAATTTATAATAAATAATAAAACAAATTGAACAAAAATATTTCATTTTTATAAGTCATCAAGAAGTATGAAGGCTCGTCATATGTTTGTTAAAAATAGGTAATACTTTTAACATATAACTTAGAAAATAATGGTATTAAATGTTCGATTATAAGCATTCCTCAACATCAATTTAGCAATATAAATCTACAAGGATGCGTAAAGTTAACCTAAAAAATAATGCACTCAAAGAGTTAAGCATTTTTAGTAGTTTTTTTAATACAGCCCAAAACAAAGAAACAAAAATTGTTTGTGTGTTTGTGTTGTTGTTGTAAATACACCTATTGATTATTTTACCTATAAACAAAACAAAAATTATTAAATTGCAGTTTATCAGTATCTATTACCAGTATAGATACTATTACCAGTATCTATTGTATTTTGAATATAAATACAAGGGAAGCGTCCCATCCTTGTATCCGTACAAGAAAAGTAATATACATTCCCCTACTTGTTTCACCTCAATGTGATTGGCGTCAGGTTTATGGAAGGTGGGTACGTGGTTAACGAAACCACTACGTTTCCTGCAAGTTTCATGAACGGACCAATTTTTTTTTGTTTTCTAGTCTTTTAGTCGAATTTTATCTGTACTTACAATATATATTAGGATTAAAGTACAGATACAATTCGACTAAAAGACTAGAAAACAAAAAAATTGGTCCGTTCATGAAACTTGCAGGAAATGTAGTACTTACCATTAGGTTTTGGAATCTGAAGAGTCCCTAGTGATTTTGGGGGTGGAAGTACCATTTTATAGGGGTTAAAGTTTATAGGGGTAGTGATTTTGAGATTTTTTTTATTTATGTGCCCCAAGCAAGTGGGGTGTCATTTTCTATGTTTATTTCTTCAACTACTACTACTGAAAAAAACTACTAGAACTATGTACTATTTTTTACAACTTTTAACATCAGCATCGAGATGTAAAAAAAAACATGCTCTTAGCATTCTCATTCAGTGGTTGTGATACCACCAGCGCAATTTATGGCAAGGAAAGAAAACAACTACTCAAACTGCTAGAGACTGAAAGTGGTTTCGTTAACCACGTACCCACCTTCCATAAACCTGACGCCAATCACATTGAGGTGAAACAAGTAGGGGAATGTATATTACTTATCTTGTACGGATACAAGGACGGGACGCTAACAATAAATCTAATTAGTCTTTTACAGAATCATTAAAGAAAATTGTAGCCAGATTGGGCTCCCTACCAACAACATCGGACAGTGCTGCTCAAAACTCCTACCACACCTACTATCAGATACAATTCTGGCTAGGGAACAAGCTGCTTCCATAAGAGTGGGGTTGGGCTAGACACAATAACTATTTGCAACCAATCAGAACAACTACTGAGCCGGCTCCTGTTCGTTTTTAAGTTGGCTGCTCAACAGCACAATGCTCCTGTGTTAAGAGCGGGATTAATAATCTTCATCTTGATGCTGATTTTGTGAAGAAGGGACAAACTCTAAAAACCCAACTCATAAGCTGTCAGTGTCACGTTAAGACTACGATGGAGAAGAACGAGTTAGAGACTATGACGATTCTATGGATGGTGATGATGCATCAGTAGCTGATCAACAATATGACACGTGATGGTTAAAAAGGCGTAACTACCAGTTTCTTAGTTAATTTTCCTCACAACTTAACCATATCAAATAGACTCATGATCAATTCTGTAATAATTGATATTAACTGGATTATTTTACCTTAATTAATTTGTCATATTTAGTTTTTCGTGAAGAAATTTGTATTTTTCTCATAAACTGTCGGTTGTATTGATTTTGTTTCGCTTTTTTTCGATTATGTATCGAACACATAGAAAGAAACATAGATTAAATTAGGCTAAGAAACATAGAAAACGACACCCCACTTGCTTGGGGCCCATAAATAAAAATATTTTCAAAATATCCCACCATCTCCGTAAACCTTAACCCCCATAAAATGGTACTTCCACCCCTACACTCACTAGGAACTCTTTAGATATCAAAACGTAATGGTAAGTACTACGTTTCCTGCACGTTTCATGAACGGACCAATTTTTATGTTTTCTTAGGTAAGTTTTACCATGTTTTACATGTACTATTATAATACGTTGACATTGGCCTGGGAAGAAACCATATCAATAAAAACTGTTCTGCTTTGTTTTTATTTAATTTAAATTTTTGTCATGACAAGATTGTAACTAAATGATTGTACTTTGTCTGAATGTCTTCAAATTTGAAGGTTATTGTTGTATTGAGGGAATATGACTAAGACGGATGGCGTCGTCCTGTAATCCAGCTACTAGGAGGTCACGAATTGTGGATATTTATAGGCATGCACTAAGGATGCGATACTCTCTGGTGTGGATTAACGTCCGCACGAATGAGTACTACGACTATCCGCAGTACTATCCTGATAATTAGACCAATTCGTATATACCAAGGCAGAAATGTGGTTCGGATTCCACTATAAACTGTAGGTTTAGTTGCCATTAGCTGTATGGGCTATTAATTAACAGCTGTGTCTAAGGAATGTCGGCCTTAGTCACTAACTAAAGATCGCACCACACATCACACATCCATCTCCATTCATACTTGGCTTAAAATGCCTACTTTGTATGGTTGCCATTTAATAAGAAAGAAAGATACCCCCGCCGCAGCAAACCTGCAGACTAAGCGAATTTCCATTTGACTGATTGGATTTACACTGAAATGTCTACTTAAAAATATAACATTTATTCCCGATTTAAATAGAATTAGTTTAACAAGTACTTAGGTTTGCTGCATCAGGGAGGGTAAAACTGTTTTTTTTTTTTTTTTTTTTTTTTGTAAAATGTTAATAGTTAGTAAGAAATAAAAACATTTTCCAAATTTGATCAAAATATTTTCTTAAACAAGCAAACTACAACAGTTTACTCATTCTCCATAAGAATAACATGGGAATTTTAAATTTACAATTTTTTGGAATTTTCTCCGTAACCATTAGGCACATAACGCTTCAACATACTAAATTATTTGTTTCTTGAAGCTCTACAAAATGGTTTGGAAATTAATTGCTAAATTTTATGTTTTTTGGGTCAAAATTGGGAAAACCCTATTTTTACCCCATAAAACCCCCCGTAAACACCCGTTCCCATGGTCCGATCATGCTGGATCGCGAACTCGTTCGAATAGACGTAGGTTTACACGTTTGTACCAAATTTCATCAAAATCGGATCATTTTTGCTCGAGTTTTCGTGCTAACGGACACACACACACACACACATATATATATATATATATATATATATATATATATATATATATATATATATATAAATTTGAACGGATGGTGTTTTTGGCCTCTAGGGACCTCAAAACGAAAAAAAAATCGGTCCCGCGTCCAGGTCTTACCTTGAGTACTACGGTAATAGCTTATTCCCTATATGGGAAATTCGCTAAAAGAAAGAAAGAATAAATACAACATGGAATAGCCACTTTAGAGGTTAAGTGGTAGAAAGGACTTGTAAGTCCTAACATAGTCACTTAAATATAGACATTTTTCATTTAATTCCACATTTACTAAATAATCAACAATTTAAGACTAATTGGAAACTTTCATTTTGTTTTCAAATGAAAATACGTGCTAAAGTTTTAAAAGTCATAAATTGTATGTATGTTTGTTTTTCATTTGATGGTTATTGTCGTGTTAGTCCAATAATTTATATGACGTGGGATGAAAATAATAATCAGGGAATGCAGATGAATCATGTAGGTATGTACTAGCGACATATTTGTTTTCATTGAGTAGTTACTGTGATAAGTTCCGACGGGCGTAAAAATATTAGGAACTGCAAGTTGTTCAAAGCAAAAGTGTTACAAGAGTATAACTTAGCATGCCTACTTTAATACTTATATGCATACTTTAATACTTATAGTACTTTTAACTTTAATGGCGACCATAAAAGCAGCTTTCATACATAACAATAAAAACCTGGAGGTAGTTACAGTTTTTTTTTCTTTCTCCGCCTATAAATAGTTCTATACGACGAAAATATTGTTTGCGTCAGAATTTTAAAGTTAGAATTTTGGATGGATATATCCGTTTTGGGCCCCACTGAACCCAAAACGTGTTTTTCGAAGTCTATGTATGTGTGTGTGTATTATTGTCTGTCTGTATGTGTGAACAATGAACATATACAGACCTACAGACGGCACCTGTGGCTCGATTTTGATGGAATTTAGTTTGTGAGCACTCAACCTCAACCATAGTATCTTCAGGCATTATTATTTTTTTATTATTGGGATTTTTAATGGTGATTTTCCTATTAAGACCCTAATAACGGAAAATCTAAGTTTTCTAAAAAGCGGCCGAAAATATTTTGATTAAAACTTAGTATGTTATTTTACTTTGAACTCAAAACAAAATGGTACCACTTCCATCGCAGTAGAAACAACGGCTCAGAAGTTATTTTAATTGATTTCATTTCCCATTAAAATAAAAAAATAAGGAACAGTCAGATTTTTAAAGCTAGGATGCATCGATTATGATTAAAACTTTATATGTAATGGTATATATGAGTTTAGACAAAAGGTATAACCCCCATTGCTGACAAAATTATTGTTCAAAAGTTATTGCAGCTTTGGGGTCTACCAATGATTATAGTAACTCCCACCGCCTAACCAGGATGAAGGCGGATAAGCTAATGAGAGCAAGTATGTGTCAGATGGCTGATACTGTTGATTTAACTTTCTTCAACTAACCAAAAATACGCGTGTCAATGCTGATGAAAAATAATTTCGCGATTGGCTTCAAAACTGGGAAATAGAACACTAAGAGTTATACAAAATAATAAATAAATCATCAAGGAATTCTGTTTAGTCAAATTCTTGAACCAAATTTTGAAATATACAACTACTCAAACTTACCATCACATCAATCCCGAGCATGTCGACAAACTGAGACACAATCGGCCACTTGAAGAACGTGTAGTAAGGAGTTCCCTGGAATGTATCTCCGGCATTCAGGAATATCGTGGGTCTCCCGGCTTGAGCAGCAGCCTTCTTCTTAGCGTCCACCGTGGCCTTTACCCGGGCAAAACCTCCGTAACACTCTTGTGGGGAATCTTTCGGGCACAGGCTCTGGCGGGGATGCGCTGCTTGGAACTGGGCGTGCATATCGTTGGTGTGGAGCAGAAGAATGTTCAAGTCCGCCAGGCAAAATGTGGCTAAAAAGACCACTGAGAGTATTATATACATGACGAGTTTGACAATGTCTCCGTGGTGATGTTGCGACTGCTCGTCAGTTACTGTTAAATTATGACAAGACACCAGTGGCAGGTGTTATGAAAACAGATGTTTTCCCACGTTCTCTACCTATCACTGCCAAATGTTAACCTTGATTGTTATTATTTTCAGGTACCTGTATCACAAAATATTTATTTTAAAACTAATAACAGTCATAATTTTCTATATTTTTAAAAGACTCAATTAAAAGCTAAGTATTAATTAAGCTAGTATTATAAAACTAATAGAAATAATCGCCTTTTTCATACCGGTACGATATAATCGACATTTACTCTAAATGTTTATACATTTTCAGAATCTGACTTTATTTAGTGTTTTCTACATTTTTGTTGCCACCCACCCATAGCCGCATAAAGTTCTCCATGATTATCTTCATCATTGATTATAGTAATACAACTATTTTTGAACAGCCTTAGTAATCAATATTTACACTTTAAAACCTTGTTTGTGACAGGTTTTGAAGTTTTTCATAGTTGTTGTCTCATTACCGCACATTACTCATGGCCGATTAATATATTTTTTTTAATTAATCTATGTTGTAATTTTAAAGATAAATGGGTTTCCCAGATTGCTGTATTCTTAAGATTTACATCCCGGTTGACTCAGCAACAATCAGCAATTTTGCATTATTATTGTTTGATCTCTGGGAAATCAACACGGAGAATATACTTTAATACTTTTTTATGAAATGGCGACCATACATAGTAGATATTTTAAGCCAAGTATGAATGGGGATGAGTGTAGGATGAGTGGCGAGATCTTGTAGTCTTGTTAGTGACTAAGGCCGACAATCCTTAGACACAGCTGTTAAATAATAGCCCATACAGCCAATGGAAAGTAAGGGACCTGCAGTTTATAGTAGGAATCCGAACCACATTTTTCACCCTGGTATATACGAATTGGTCTAATTATCAGGGTAGTACTGCGGATAGTCGTAGTACTCACTCGTGCGGATGTTAATCCACACCAGGGAGTATTGAATCCACAGTGCGTGCCTATAAATATCCACAATTCGTGACCTCCTAGTAGCTGGATTGCAGGACGACGCCACCCGTCCCAGTCATATTATATGTCATTTAAGAAAACGTCATACTATAAAAACTGCATCATTGAGAGGCTTTCCGTTAATTTTATTTGTAAGCCTAGCAGTTTTTTTTTTTTAAACAAAAAAACATCCACTGTCCTTTGTTTGGACTTTATTACTTGAAATTCCCTTATTGAGATTTTCCCAAAGCCGATGAAACACCAATAAGACTTTTTACCATGGAAAATGTTAGCGTATTTGAGCAGTAGAACAATTTAACGATAGTTTTCCGTATCACAAGGGTTGTAGTTAAAACATAACAGTCTGGGTCGTAAATGGAAATGAAGTTTGTACGGATAGATTTGTATTACAATTTAATATGTTAAATTGGATTAAGAGTGTATGAAACGGGTATGATAAAATTTAATTTTTCCTAGCCCCTAGTTTGATTATCACCTGCAATAGGACTTAAATATGTTGAAAGGACAGTTTATTATTTTACCTCTGAAAGTTTAAAAATTTTAATTATACACTGAAAATCCCTATAAAAAACTGTCAAACCATGTGGAAGCATTTTAAGGGATGTATTTAAGAATAAAGATAAAAGGATGTTGAATAAATTAAAGCCAGATCCTTTTTTATGCGATTGATGAGCCAATAAGCTATTTATAGCCCATATGGAAGAGATCGATACAAGCGGGAGCGGGTGCAACAGGTAGCGCGTGCGTGAGGTTTGGCCGTGAAAACGTGGATTTCATCCCTAAATTCGTAACATATTTAGTTTTAACGAATTTCCCCTTAAGGGTGGGGGGCTATTACTATAGGTGACACAGTAAGAAATAGATCTGGGACCGCGTAACTTTTTCATTTCGATGTCCCCAGAGGACAAAAAGGCTGATCTTCCGAACTGAACACAGTAATTCCCGTAACGACCAAACTTTGGGAAATTGTTCTAAGGGTAAAAGTAAGGATAACACAAGTATAAAATATTTTCCGCAACCACTTCGTTAACCAAATAGCCACCATTTTGAATTTTTACATTAACTTTTTTTTATTTCAATTTTTCAAACCGATCATTATGATTTGTATGTTAAAGTAGGAAAGACATATCTTAGAAAAAACTTGGTCCATTCAAAATTGCAGTAATTTTAACTTTTATGATTTAAATTATTTAAAATTGGCTTATTTTATAAAATAATTCCAAGAACACTTTTGTGTAGCATTTAAAGTCCCTACCAAACCATACCAAGTTCAAAAGTATATAAATACATACAAATGAAATATAATTAATTTTAGTTGTAAACTGAAGCCAAATGAGGTCAATTTTGTCCCTAGTATCCTTATTCCACCTCATTTGCATATGTTAAACATGTTTAAACATTTAAATAAGTTAAGACAGTTTTTCTTTGTTTATCAGTAAAGATTTTACTTATATTTCAGTAGAAAACAGCCGTTTTCAATGTTTTTTTTTAGGAATGGATTTGTTATAATTTATCACAGACTCTTTGTTTTTCTGCATTAATAATTGTAAGCATAATCACAATTCGTACATGGGATTATAATCAACCCCAATAGACATCGAATCTCTTTTAGATTTAAATGGGAACACAATAATGACTCGGATACCGAAAACATTTTAAATTGAATAAATAGCCTTGACAAAAAGCTAGATATTATTATTTGCTTGAATATTAACATATCCCCAAAGTTATTGTCCACCCTTTTTGTGTCCTGTATGTTGTTTCGAATGAGTATTTGGTAACTTAATAATTCGAACTATCATAATTATGATAGTATTAATTATGATAGTAATTATGATAGTATGAAAGTATTTGGTACAAGGCATAGTTTTAGAAATATATCTATCTATTATCCATGAGTAGAATATAATCACAAAGCACAAGATAAACGCAAACGTGTTGCAGGAAAATCCTCAAGTTATTAAAAGTATATTCCAGGATTATGTAGAATGCTTAGCGCTGTTTCTTAACTTAGGGAGAAAATATGAAGAAGAAATAATAAAAGTGGGATAAAATACAAAAAAATAAGTTTAATTGTTGAACTTGGTGGAGTGATTAACGATGTTTTCTTATCTTATTTTTCACTAAGATAAGATAACATCGTTAATTACTTAGTATACTAATGTATTATATATCGAACTAGTAATTCATCCGATAATACTCATCAGGTTCTCAGCGGAACTGTACTCTACCAAAAATACATATTTATCGGAGATTCGTCGCTTAGTTAGGTTTGCTTGAACACTATTGTTTATGTTTAATTACGTCACTAAATATATTATATTCATATTTTACTCCTATAACTCTATTACAAAGAAACATCTACTTAAATGCAATTTATGAACAAATAATACAAAAAATCGTAGATGAAGAGAGAAACAATTAAGAAAGAGCAAACTCTTCAACGCGTGTTTGCGACAGTAACTTATATCGAAGGAGTAAAGGAAATTGGACAATAAAGGGTAAGATTTACCGTTAGTGTTCACGCGTTCCCTGGTGTGAATTATTGTGTTCGATGCCGACTGCTGTGACCAAGTACATTGGGTAAATATAGTAGATAACCTTTCAAACTGAAACTCAGAGTCGTGATTGACAATTTTGGAAAGATTCTTTTCTTTCAGGAATCATTCATTCTTCCTTCTAGATATATTTTTTTTATGTTGTACATCAATGAATTAGATTAGATAGGCGCCGACAATCCAGCGTGTATTTTAATTCAAAGGTAGCTGAAGGATTAGACTTGAATAAATTTAAATCCTAAATAGTGTTAGAAGATGATTTCACTTATAGTAAAAATTAAATCATCGTCGCTGACTAAGATTAGCTGTATATTTATTCAAGTTCAGGTTATTTAATGGGACGTTCTGAGGTGAGCTCCACAACTGCTCGGCTTCCCAACTATAAAACGATGACTATAACAACTACAAACAACAATATCAGGTCTTGTTGGAGTTGGAATTTTTCAATGCATGGATGTGTATGGCATTTTTACAGATAATATCGATAGTTTATGAAATTCCCAATTCTTAAGTGTATACTCTAACACAAAATTCAAAATAAATGTACTTCAATAAAGTCAATTTAGTAAATAAATGTAAACGCAAGGTTTATTATAAAAGTGCCAAACTCCGTAAAGTGGTATATAATATATGATTATTCATTTGGTATGTTAAGGCTTACAGAACTATAGTACATTATTAACAGTAAAAATGTTGGGAGAAAAATCCATTTAGATGACAAGATGAACTCATCTTGACAAAAACACAACACCCCACTTCTTTTTCAAAAATAGATGCTTTGGTGCACCAATTTACTGTCGTGTGTTTTGGCATTATTTATAGTTGCAATACTAATTTAACATTGATAAATCACAGATAGTCTATGCACAATTTGTATTAGATATGAAGAAATCCGTAAGATCGTCACCTTGTCACCAAAGTCTTAGCTAAGATGATTACAAAGTAGTGTTTAGGGAATTAAAGCCTGTTCAGCCGTGAGGTTGTGCACCATTAGAAGATTGCACTACATCAGTCAAACCTGCAAATCCAATTGTTTGGATCAATGTTTGCCAAAATCTTTCCAGAAAGTCAATAAATAGCTTTGTAATTACCAATAAATAGTAGGATAGTGTAGCAGTATTGGCAGTATAAATAAACTATAACAATAATTTTATATGTGGAAAGTAGATGCATAATTATTCACTTGTGTGAGAGTTTAACTGATAAAAGAATTATTAGAATAGATTACATTTTCGGATACATCTTAATTTAAAAATTTAATTTACAATTTTAAAACATTTATGTAATAAATCAAATGTTCATAATAAC